CAGGCTCAGTAGTTGTGGTGCAGGGACTTCGTTGCTCCACAGCATGTGGGGCCTTCCCAACTCAGGGATTGAACCCATGTCTCCTGCATTGAGAGGTGGATTCTTTACCACTGAGCCACCAGGGAAGCCCAACACTATGTTTTTTCCAGGTGTACGGCATAGGGACTCAATATTTCTACATATTACAAAAGGGTCACCACTTCTACAGCTTGATAATCACATGTTGATCTTTGGTGTTGTTTGAGATTCCTGAACCTGTGGTTTCTGTCATTAATTTTGGGAAGTTCTCAGTCATTATTACTTTCAATGTTTCTTCCTTTCTCTCTCTCTCTTTTCCTTTTGGTATTCCCTTTATACATACATTGGAGAAGGAAAGGCAACCCACTCCAGTACTCTTGCCTGGAAAATTCCATGGACAGAGGAGCCTGGTAGGCTACAGTCCATGGGGTCTGGAAGAGTCGGCCACGACTGAGAGACTTCACTTCACTTATACATACATACGTTATTCCCTTCGTAATTATCCCACAGTTCTTACACATTCTGATCTTTTTCATTCTTTCTCCCTGTTACATTTCAGTTTTAGGTGTTTCTATTGAATATCTTCAAGCTTACTGATTCTTTCCGTGGCTCTGTAAGTGTATTAAGAGCCCCCGAAAAAGGCATTCTTCATTTCTGTAACAGTGTTTTTTATTTCTAGCATTTCTTTTTGACTCTTTCCTCGGGTTTCTATTTCCCTGCTCACATACACGTCTGTTCTTTCATAATGTCCACTTTTTCCATTAGTGTCCTTAGCATATCTATTATTTAAATGATGATTAATTTGGTTGTTGGTGGTGCTGAGTTTTTCTACAACCCTGCTGATTTTCTGTCCAGTTATTCTGAGTTTGTTGAGAGAGGGACAGTGAAGTCTCCTACTATAATTGTGGATCTGTCTATTTCTCCTTTCAGCTCTGTTAGTTTTTGCCTCACATATTTTGCTGCTTTGTTGTTTGGTGCATAGACATATACGATTGCTGGGACTTCTCAGTAGATTGACTCTTTTACTATCATATAATCTTTCTCCCAGTCTATGATAGTTTTATGAGCTCTGAAGTCTATTTTATCTGATATAAATTTAGCACTTCGGCTCCCTTTCATTAATGTTTGCAATATACACCATTTTCTATCCTTTTACTTTCAACTTGCCTATACCATTATATTTGGATTGAATTTATTGTGGACTGTATCTTGTTTTTAATCTACTCTATCAATGTCTGTCTTTTAATCAGTTTATTTAGGCCCATACTTTTAGTGTAGATCTGCTAATGACAAATTCTCTTTTTTTTCCCCCCTTCTGAGAATGACTTCATTTCCCCCTTCATCCTGAAGGATACCTTCACTGGATATAGGATTCTGGGTCATCGGTTCTTTTCTTTTGGCACTATGCTATCAAAATAAGGACTAAACTAAGATAAAAATCAATGTGTTCCCAGGCTACATTCATAAAAGTGTGATTCACTTAATGAGGAGGGAGACATCTCTATAGTCTGGAGGACTACGCTCACTTCTGGGAATTACATCTTAAAAGGAATTGAAGAGGGGACTTCCCTGGTGGTCCATTGGTTGAGACTCCGAGCTCCCAATGCAGGGGGCCTGGGTTCAATTCCTGGTCAGGGAACTAGATCCATGTAGAAGTTACCTCATGCTGCAACTAAGTGGTGTAGCCAAATAAAATTTTCTTAGAAGAGATAATATATGCATAGATAAACAACTACATTTTTTTTTTAAAAAAGGAATTGAAGAAATCAAGGCCTATTGATATCAGTGGGATAAATACGGTGAGGGGATACAAAACCACATCCTAAGAGAAATGGCATAAAAGAACTAAGGCTGTTGCTCCTGAAAAGAAAATATTCTCAAAGAATATGACCTCCAAAGAGAATAGGACTGTTCCCCTGGGCTCCGAGGGGTTTCAGAGAGAGGGAACGGTAAGGGAAAGAGATTTAAATTTAGTACCAGGAAGACTTTTCGACAACTAAAGCTGCACAAAATGGACTGTACTGCACACAGATTATGTTCCTGTTGCAAAGGTGTGGAGCTTAGGGTTGGAGGAATATTTTACCAGGATGTTTTGCCAGGATGCCACATGTATTTCAAACTATCAATGTTGCAGTGCCTTCCTAGGCATCTCCATTTTCATATGGGTTTCTTGGATGTAAAATGAAATGGAAGGTATCTATTCATTTTTATTGAAGTAGAGTCGATTTACAATATTGTGTTAGTTTCAGGAGTACAGCATAGTTTTCAGGTTTTTTTCCAGATTACATCTGAAATGGAATGTTTTTAGATAGAGAAACTACACTTGGCAAAGTCTATCTTTATTTTAACAACCAAACAAATTTATGTATCCTATATAATATTTTGTGACTTCAGTGGATGATGATACTTATAGAAAATGTCTGCCCTGTTAGGATCTTGCCTGATACATTTATAATTCAAGTTGATGCTAAAAAGTGATAGGTGTGATTTTAACAGCGGCCAACACTTAAATAGAACTTACACTGTACCACCCACTGTTCTAGGAGCTTCTATGTGTTCAATTATTATCTCCATTTTACAAAAGCAGAAATAGAGACAGGAAGAAATTAAGTAATCTCCACAAGGTTACTCAGCTAGTAAGTGGTAAACCGAAGATTTGAATCCAGTCTCTATGATTCCTAAGTCTAGACTTAATATTTATACCCTGCCCACCACCCTAATTTCTTAGTTTAATCAGCTTGTCAGGACCTGTCCGGTCCAATGTACATGTCTCCTCCGAGCATATTCTTCTGAAGATTCTCAAGCAGCAAATCTAACTCCTCTGAGACTGGGCTTAAGCTTTGGAAATAAACTCAAGTTATTTATACTTAAATCTGATGGACAGAGTGGTTGAAAAGCTGGATATTATCATTTGACATTTAAAACTGTCAATGCCACTGAAATGATGAGCCTAATTTCTCTGAATGGTTTGTAAACTGGCTTCGAAAGTCCTTCCAAAAGAGCAGCACAGATTAGGTGGTGACTGATGGATAGCATCGCTGGAATAGGTCTCTAATCACCTCGGCAACCCAGTGTTTTGAAAGAACAACACTCACTGGGATATGTACATCTGGTGATGTTGTTATTTTCAAAGTTATACACTACACAGATGCATCCTTTGCTTTGTCAAAGAACTGTTCTTGCATTTGTTAAGAAATAAAAAGGAGGAGGGAGAAGGCACCAAGTCGGAGATTCCGATGCATTATGTACTTGAATAACACCAGATCTTGATTAGGTGCTATTAGGGAGGAAGGATAACGCCCTTGGCATCTCCAACGAAGTACAGAGTCTTAGGAAGCAATAGCTTCCTAGTGAGACAGATCAAGTTCGAAGCCCAGCACAGAGCCAATTCCTAGCTGGTTTGGCAGGAGGGGGTTGCGGGGCGGAGGGGGGTTACCTCTCTGAGCCTTAGTATCTTAATCTGTAAAACAACATCTTATCATGATGTTGTCAGAAATAATTTCTATAAAGGGATCTGACCCAATGAAGGAAACATGTTAAAAAAAAATAATAAATCAAGTGTACTCAAAAAGACAAAGTAGATGAATGAGAACATCTTCCTCACATATAGAGTGGAATAACCTCTAAAAGACGCTGTCAAAAATAAACGCAGGGCTTCCTTGGTGGCCGAGCGGTTAAAACTTCCAACTTCCAACACAGAGGGTGCAGGTTTGATCCCTGGTGGGGGAACTAAGATCCTACATGCTGTGCTGTGTGGCCAATAAATAAATTAATTAATAAACATTTTTTAACTTAAAAATATCAACTCACCTGTTCATTCTTGATTCACCTTCCCAGGACCACTGAGAGGAAGTTTGGGACCCAGTGTAGGGAAATATTTTTAAATTTTATGGCTCCTTAGCATGGGCAGGCTTGGCATTTCTGTTGAGAGAAGGCTCAACAGAAGGCTCTGTTGAGAGGCTTCCCTTCTCTCTCGTTCCCTCCATCATGGAGTGTAGCCCGCCGGGCTCCTCTGTCCATGGGATTCTCCAGGCAAGAATACTGGTGTGGGTTCTCACCCTCCTCCAGGGGATCTTCCTGACTCAGGGATCAAACCTGTGTCTCTTATGTCCTGTGTATTGGCAAGCAGGTTCTTTACCACTAGTGCCACTTGGGAAGCCCAAATAAAATTTTTAAAATTAAAAAAAATTAACTCACCTATCACTTCTTGATTCACCCCCCAGCATCACTGAGAGGAAGTTTGGGACCCGGCATAGGGGAAATATTTTCCAATTTCTTGGCTCCTTAGCTCAGGTCGGCTTGCCATTTCTGTTGGCTCCCTTGTTCTCTCACTGCCCCCTGCATCGCCAGGAGTGTGTGAACCGGGGCACCCCAGGCCCAGGGGCAGAATCTGGCTACGAGGAGCCGCCTGCAGGTATGGAGGGTGTACCTCCAGCCAATGCAGCCGGCGAGCGAGTGGGGGCTGAACCCCAGCCAAGACCTGCTCGTTAAACCCAGCGCCTGGCGCAGGGAGCAGCTGCCCACAAGTACCTTTAACTTGGCACATGAGACTGTCTGCTTTCTTTTCTTTTCTCCCCAATCGGCTTTATCTGCCCCCTTTTTTTTTCTTAATTTGCACAATGCATTGATTATGTCACTCATAGGCCTGCCACAAGAATAGTTTTTTTGTTTGCTTTTCTTTTTTAACTGAGTTAGGTGGCCAGATTTGAAAAGTCAGGGATTTCATGCAAGAATCTGCATTTCTAGCTTCTTTTGGAAAATGGGATGTTCTTTCCACCACAGTAGGCCCATATTCCTTCCTGACAACACGTTAGCTGGAGCCAGATGGCTTCTGCTCACTGCAGACCTAGGCGGCTGGTTTTCCACAGCCCCCCGGGAGCCTGTTAGGTTTCCCACGCCCAGGGCTGGGGGAGGGCGGGAGGGTGGTGGTGGGGAGGGTAAAACTCTGTGCCAACAGGTCCGATTTCCAGCTAGTGGCATAGATGCCTCCAGGGGGCAGCACGCGCACGCACATGAGTGACAGGTGAGGGGCAGCATCCTTTAAATGCAGACGTTTCTCTGCGTCTGGACTGAGATCCAGAGAAACCCACTCTCTGGTCAGGCAAACCCCATGGACATGCGGTCTCTGCGGCGTGGGCAGAATAAAGGCACCCTCTGTTCTTGCCCAGGGACGTGGAGACACTGGTGGCTGCTTCAGAAGCTGCCAGCAAAACTCAGACCACCTTCTGGGCTATTCCAGTACGTTTCTTCTCTTTATCAAAGCAGCCAGGAGGTGGAGGTAGATGGCAGGAGACAACCCTCCCCTACAAAACCAGGCAGCCAAAGAGTCATTCTGACATGCCTGTATCGGTGTTGGGCAGTTTATGGGTAAATGGGTTACGCACAACTGGGTAGATTCAGCATTGGAGGAAGGGGCCCAGTGATTTCAATCCATGCTCCTGCTGGGCCCTGGTTAATGATGTTAATGAAATGAAGAGCTGCACACACTATTTATGGCCAGGTTAAGCCGATTACCCTAGCTTAACCTACTTTCAATGTGCAGATCTCACCAGGGGAGGACACAAGTCTCTGTTACCTGTTTTTCTCTCCCTGGGACTTTTCCTTGGACATTGAAAACAGGAATCCTAATAAGGCCATTTTTTAACCTGTCTCATTCGAGAGCAGGATTTTCAAACTCCCCCTTCAACATTGATGAAACTCCCTTGGTCCCTGGCAGGGAGGTGGGAAATTTCCAAAACGAGTCAGCCGCACAATTACTAGGAGAGCTGAGATGCTGATACCTAATAAAGATGCCATAAGTAAAGAATGATGAACCACTATGAGAAATGACTCGCTAGAGAAGGACACGTTGGAATGTGGGAGAGTAAAAATCACTTAAACTTTGCGTGACCTTGAAGAAAGTCACGGCGACGTTCTGCCAGGTCCCTGGGATGCTGGGTTGAGATACAACTGTTTCCTTACTATCTAGTCGGCTGAGTTTAGACACACTCTGAGCCTTTCTCCTTGGACAGTCCAGAGTCTCCCTCGCATCTCAAGGGCTCTCTCAGTTCCTCCCTGCACTTTACAACCATTAGGCAGGAGCAGTTAATGAGACTATCAGTTCTGTGGAAGCATCTTGCTTGTAGCAATGGGGAGGGGCGTGCCTGTTTGATAATTTAGAACAGTGCTGAGCGGGAGGGTCAGATCTCCTGGGGTGGTGTCACGAATTGAAAAAGTGACTGTGGCACTGCGCTCCTCTACAGTTTTCTACAGCTGGTCCAGATTTTCCATGGGCTCACCTTTAAATTAAAAGAATTTCTGCACTTTCAAGAATTTGAAAACAAAGCCATGTGTGAGAATATGAGACCCACTCCTATGCCCTTACAAGAAATAGGTTGCATTCCTTTTTCTGCACTTAAAAAAAACAGCACCTCTTTTTTTTTTAGAATGCCATATATGTAAATGATCCCCAATGAATCTTTAGCATGTGCCCATCTTGTTTTGATTTTACTAAACTTTAAAAATATGCCCATTGTTCCCTTTTAAAAGCTCTTGGCAACATTTTCAGAAATGGAGCTATATGAGCAAATTAGCAAATGAATAGAATTAGCAAGTACCATTTAGCAAGCACTCATGGTACAAATATGTCTACAATACAGAAAAAGCATCACCATAGATCTTGTAAGGCTGTATAAGGTTTCTTACCTAACTTCATTCTTAATTAAGCAAAATCCCATGAAATTATATTGAGAGATGGAAAATAATAAAGTCACTGGTATAGTATTTTTACACACCTTTCAGTGATTTTGGTTTTGTTTTTAAAGGAATTGTGTGATGTAGCAGTGCTAGTGGTAAAGAATCTGCCTGCCAATGCTAGGAACACAGGAGATGCAGGTTTGATTCCTGGGTTGGAGAGATCCCCTGGGGATGGAAATGGCAACCCACTCCAGTATTCTTGGCTGAAAAATTCCATGGGCAGAGGAGCTTGGCAAGCTACAGTCCATGGGGTCACAAAGAGCTGATCATGACTGAGCATGCATGAACACACTCATGCCCAGGAGTGGGATTGCTGGATGATAGTGGAAAGAATAAAAAGATCTGGGTGAGATAGAATTTTTGTTCCCTACCTTAACAGTTCTGTGATATTGGGCAAATTACTCTTTTTATTTAACTACAAAGTGGAGTTGGTAATATTCATATCATAGGGTTGAAAGAATTAAATGAAATTCTATGTAAAATGTCTAACAGGGTGATTGACACAGTCTAAGATGCTCAGTTAAGGTAACTCTCAGGAACACGGGTTCAATCCCTGCTCCAGGAAGATTCCATACGCTGTGGAGCAGCTAAGTTCCTAGGCCACAGCCACTGAGCCCCACTCTAGAGTTTGTGCTCCTTAACAAGAGAAGTCACTGCAATGAGAAACCCAAGCCCCACAACTAGAGACTAGCCCCCACTCACCAAAATCAGAGAAGGCCCACATGCGGCAACAAAGGCCCAGCACAGTTAAAATGTTTTTTTAAAAAAAGTAACTCATGGGAACTTCTCTGGTAGTGGAGTGGTTAAGATTTCGTGCTTCTAAGGCAAGGGATGTGAGTTCGATTTCCTATCAGGGAACTAAGATGCCACATGCAGCACAGCAAAAAAAAAAAAAAAAGAAGAGATTAAATTAAAAAAGAAAAGGTAACTCGTTATTTGTAGTTTTTTCAAGTGATAGTGACTTAAGTTGCCTAAATAATTTTTTTAAACTTTAAAAATAGTTGATTTTCTCAAGTAATTTAAATGATGTGGTGATGATCATTTTGTAATATATGGAAAGATCAAATCACTATGCAGTGATTTGAGAACTAACACAGAATTGTAGGTCAAATATACTTTAAAAACAAGCTCAAAGAAAAAGAGATCAGAGTTGTGGGTACCAGAGGTGAAGTTGGGGGTGGAGGAATTGGATGAAGACCATCAAAAGGCACAAACTTCCAATTATAAAATAAGTACGAGGAATATAATGTGTGTGTGTGCTCAGTTGCTCAGTCATGTCCAACTCTATGACCCCATGGACTGTAGCCCACCAAGCTCCTCTGTCCATGGAATTTTCCAGGCAAGAATACTGGAGTGGGTTGCTATTTCCTTCTCCAGGGGATATTCCCAACCCAGGCATCGAACCCCTGTATCCTGCATTACAGGTGGGTTTTTACCACTGAGTTACCCAGGAAACAGGGATGTAATGTATAACATAATAAATATAATTAACACTGCTTTATGTTATATGTGAAAGCTATTAAGAGAGTAAATCCTAAGAGTTCTCATCAAGAGGAAAATTGTTTCCTATATCTTTAATTTTGTGTCTATATGAGATGATGTATTTTAACTAAACCTCTTATGGTAATCATTACTTCTTGTAATAATGATGTATGTAAGTCAAACCATTATGCTGTATATTTAAAACATACACAGTGCTGTATTCAATTATATCACAGTAAAACTAATAGGAAAAAAGATTTAAATCACTTACCACACAATTCCTTCATTTAAAATATACCCCCCAACTTATTTAAGTGATTTATTTTTAGCACCAAAAATATCAGTGACATTTTTGTCACTATCAGAAAATTAGCATAATGTCACAGTTATAAAAATGAATAATGATTTAAAGCATAATCATTAATTAAATTATTTCCCCAATGTCACATCACATGGGTAAATCTTAATTTTGGTGGCTAGCTTATCTATTCCTCTTATTGGCAAACTATGAAGAGGCCTGTTATCACTTACATGTTATTACTGTATATACAGTAGTTGGATTTTTTAAAAGATTTTTTTAATGTGGACCATTTTTAAAGTCTTTATTGAATTTGTTACAGTATTGCTTCTGTTTTATGTTTTGGTTTTATGGCCGCGAGGTATGTGGGGTCTTAGCTCCCCAACCAGGCATTGAACCTGCATCTGCTGCATTGGAAGGCAAAACCTTAACCACTAGACCTTCAGGGAAGTCCCCAGTTGAATTTTTTTTTTCTTAATTTGCTTCAGTAGCTCTAGCCTTTCCCATGAAGATTCAAGGCAATCCATTTGTCTTTTTTTTTTTTCCTGAAAATCTCTCATAAATTATAAATACTATACACTGGCTAAGTCTTTTCTGTACTTCCATATAGGACACATAAATCAGTATCTATATAAAGTTTCTCACTAATAAAAGGAGTTTATCTCGTTCCAGAACCAGGCAGTTTTATTGCATATTGAGTTTCCACGGTTCAGCCAAAAGTCTGAGGATAAAGACTTGCTGCAAAAAGTTTTGACTAGTTCTCAACCACTTTCTCACTTGGTAAATAAATACAAAAGTTAGAAATAGCCACTGGTACAATCACTGTGGGTGCATATTCCTCCTGTAGAATATTTGAACAAGGGACTTGCAGTTTACAGAGAAAGCTGGCCAGGTGTTTAGAAATATATCCAGAAACCTGAGCAAATTAGTGGGAAGACAGACTTGTTATTTCTATAAATAAGCTAGAGTACATTTTGATTTTACACCTGAGGAACTAATTAGACTAAGTTTGTTTGTAAGGTTTGGGGTTAAGAAAATACTGTCAGTGAAGGGTTTTTCTTAGGACTTCTTAATTAATTCATCTGCAAAGTTACCAGATCCCAGTCAAAGAAGATTTGAAGTTTTACAAAACTCAAGATAACTATCAAAGAGCTAGAACAGCTTTATCATCTCTAAATAAAGCCTCAGTGAAGCTGTATCCTGAGGAATCAAAATCTACATTTTTTAATTTTAAAAATATGTGTTTATTTATTTGTGCTGGGTCTTAGTAGTAGCACATGGGATCTTTAGTTGTGGCATGTGGGACTTTTTTCTTTTTTTTTAAGTTGAGGCATGTGAACTCTTAGTTGCAGCATATGGAATCTGATTCCCTTATCAAGAATTGAACCTGGGCCCCCTGCATTGGGAGTATGGAGTCTCAGCCACTGGACCCACAGAGAAGTCCAAAAATCTGCATTTTAAAATTAACCCTAATTGTAAGGTGATCAACTGTCCCAGGTGACCTGAGG